CAGGTGCAGGGTCTGCTGGCTGGGTGCTGGCAGGCTTGCACCTGGCACGGGCACCGTAGCCAGCCTGTGCCCCTTTAAGGAGTCCGGGGCCGGGAGGGGGGCAGACGAGTTTCCCTGATGTTGGCCAGAGTGGCCACCAGGGAAACCTGGGGAGGACTAGCCTCCCACTAGTTCGAATTAAGGGGATATACACCCCTTAATTCGAACTAGCTAGTTCGAACTAGACTTAATCCTCGTAAAATGAGGTTTTCCTAATTCGAACTAAGTGCTCCGCTAGTTCGAATTAAATTCGAACTAGCGGAGCGCTAGTGTAGCGCCTATTAAAGTTAGTTCGAACTAACGTCCGTTAGTTCGAACTAACTTTGTAGTGTAGACATACCCTAAGTACCTTACTGCATGAATAACCTCACATTTTAATGGGGTTATTCATAAGACACAATGTAAATGTGGCAGACTCGGGCCTTGTAAGAATGATCTGTCCAACTATTGGTAGTATTTTAATAGAGCAAAGTTAGGTGAAACATAGACTTTTTAAAAAAAAAAGACATGAAGATGATATATTGAGATGGGAGAGGGGGGAATGTGGAAGTTACATACTGTGTAATATAATTTAAAAGTAAAACCTTTCCTAATATCTGTTCTCCTCTCTCACCTGCATTTACATATGCTAGGTTAGTACTCTCTGTGGTAGAGGCAGTCATGAGTTGTAGGCTTCTGGTTTTTTAGTTCTGATTAAATATGTGGGTGGTTGTTTTCTTTTTCTTCTCAGTATAATTCCTAATATTTGTGCATATACAAACAACTTAAATTAAATCTTGTTTTCTACTGCTTGTGGTTTCTTGTCCGTGACAAACTGGACAAAATTTCTTATGTATTAGAAGCACAGTAAACAGTTTTAAATTGTTTATGACTCCCATCCAGGCCTGGACATCAGAGACATAGTTTTGTATATTTCATAGCATAACAATTTCCCCCTGAAGTTATGGAATAATAGAGAATGGAGTTAGATTTCAGTGGTAAATCAAAAGCAAACAGAATGGGCAAAATGGTGACTCTTAACCAGAAAGAAACAGTATGTAAGTTTCTGGTTGCATGTGTATGTATTTTTAAGGCTTATTGCATGTCGAAGGCAGAGAAGTGCATAAACTGGAAACTAACAAAATTATGGCCATGCAGTAGACACAATTAATTGGAGAGGATACTGGCAAATCTTTCATGTTTCTCTACAATTAAAAGAACTGACCCCCAGAATGTCTTTACAAAGAAATTCTCACTAAATTCACATAGATAGGACAGTCCTTATCTTTGTGTCAGTACTGACTCTCAGGGAGGAAAGACCTACTTAATCACCAGTATCACTTCCCACTGCACCAAAGCTTTCCTGCAGGTCTTCAGTTCAGGTTCTGACTTGGGCAAGCCCAATTTTGCTTGTCAGTAGTCAGTGCAAGATGAGTTGTATTGTTGTAGGCTGTTTAGTATGGAGCCATCATTTAATTTCAGTTGTAAACCAACTTTCCAAAAACATGTGGTAATGTAAATTTGTGCTGAGGGGAAGATGGAGCCCTAATGCTGATGAGACCAGCATAGTGACTTTTCTGTAACCTTGTCAATATTTAATCAATCTGAGTTGATTCAGTTGTTAGAGACCAACGAACACCTTTACTTAAGAATGGAAGAGCCTAGTGTAGTTAAAGGTCTGAGATGCTTTTAATTTTTTTTTGCAAATTTACAGAAACTCTAGAATTGTGGGACTCTTCTTTGTTCACCCTCCGACATACAGAACCCAGTATGGCATTCATGGGAGACTCAAGTCAACTCTTTTTAATGCCAAAGGAAATCTGCACTATAGCAACAAGAAAGGAAAAACACAAAAAGATAATCAGAGTTTTAGCAAATGACATAAAATTCAGGCATGTGACTTGCAGTCTGGAGGAGTAAGTGGTAGCTATTGGATTGCTGAGGAAATGAATGTACCATACACAAAATGCATTTAAATAGGTATCAAATTACATTTTCAGGCCTATATTAGAAATTCACCTATAGTATTTAAAAAAAAAAGTAATGAATGTTTGTAGTTGTCTGGTTAGCTAGTGCTAATCCAGAACCCTGCACTTCACTCAATGCATTTTTCTCATTCATAGTTATTTCTGGTCCTGCATAGAAAGCTTTGTGGTGTTTGTCACCAAGTTTTAATCCATCTAATTTACAAATAATTACAATCTTAAAAACAGAATTGTTCACCTGTCTTGAAGCAGGTAGTGTCAATCAATCCATCATGACCATGCCTGATTTGGTATAATAGTGATAGAAAATACAGTGAGACTGTAATGCTTTTCATCTCCCACTGTTATCTCCACTGTAACTGAAATTGAGAGTACAGCTGAACAGCACAGAGAACAAAAGTAGACTAAAACACATAAATAGATATTTTGGTAATTTTACAATGAATAAAACATAAGTATAGTGTCCATCTGCCAAAGTATATTTGTATATTTAAACCTATCTTGACAGGTTCATGTTTAAAGTGTCACTTATTCTGCAAGTTCTGGAGAAAGTCTGGCACTACCATGCTAAATATTCATTCGGTATCTACCTGTCTTTGGGCAGGCAATTTAGTCAGCAAAGAAATGACACTGATCTAATTCTACTAGCTATCTATCTTTTTCATTCATATTCAAGTAGATTGGTCTTATAACGTTTAAATTATTATCACGGTTAAAAATAAAAAACGTTGTCATTTTCCTTTCTTTCTCTCACTCTGTTTTGGCCAATATTCTTGCATTAGCTTGGGAGAATGCCTAAAAAACTGCACAGCTTTTTTTTTTTTCCTAGCAATTGAATATTGTATGTGTACTATTTCTCCAGCACTCCCAAGCTTGCAAACCACGAGATTAAGACAATGTGAACATTATGGCCAAAATGTTATACTTACTATCCTAAGATGCTTTAAAAATGTTGATCATTTTCATTGATGACAAACCCAGTTCTGACTTTCCCTCATCAGTTAGTATTGAAGAGTTGACAAATACCTTCCTTTGTTATGGCTAGCAGAACTGATTGTCTAGTCTCCATGCTTAGATAATGACCGCATTGCACCTGAAGCACGGGGAACCTTGTCTGGGGTTGCTGAAGGAAGGCAGCAGTGCTTCATGGGGGAGGAAAGGAGAAAAGGTTAGAAACTGCTGGGAAAGGTAAGTGGTGTCAACCTTGTGGTGCTGGCCCCCTCCTAGGAATGTGAGAAGCAAGCCCTCAGCAGGGAGAGGGGGCATGTCACCCTAATTGCTTGTTCATCCTTTTGGCTTTTGTGGTACCTTGTGGTACTTTACTGGGACCAGATAAATGATCTGGTAAATGACATTATCCTGCACTTCCTTTAAAGGGACTGAATGGAGGATCAGGCTTGGGAACTCCTATCCTAATTGGTACAGCAGGGAACCAACTCTCCCTCACCTCAATTCTTTTAGCCCTCTTTAACCCTCTTACGAGCAGGGTGAATGTAAGTTCCAAGCCATGGATTGGCTGGGGCAGTTTTTCTCAACCAGCAGTATGAATACCATTAGGGGTACTTGAGAGAAGTCTGGTTGAAATTTGGAGCAAACTGATTTTTTGTTTTAAGTTTTATAGCACTTTATTATGTTTGTACTTTTTACACCCAAAAATTTAATCGCCTGCCCGGCTATGATTAAACTGTTTAAACACGTGTTGCAATGATAGAAAAATAATTGTCTGAAAACTGGAGGCACTTAAAAATTGTTTTTAAAAAGGGGGTACTTATAATTTTTTTTGAAAAAGGGATACTTTATAAAAAAATTAAAGGTTGAGAAACACTGGGCTGGGGGACCTAGATGGAAAATAAAGGGGGCCTGGTGGAAGCCAGGTGATTTGAATAAACGAGGATTTGCATACACTGTACACTTCATCTGCTGAGCAGCCCTAGACACATATATCACATTTGCAGCTTGATTAAAATCCATATCAACTGTCTCCTGTCCTTTTGGCGCAGCCAGATAACTGCTCTGTGTCAGAACAATCATAAACCGAATGCTCCGCCTTCACCAGTGAAGTTAGTCAGCAAAGTCCCCTCTGATCACTGTCATGTGAAAATGTGTTTTCATGGTGAAATACAGTGAGTACTAGCCTGCTTCCCATTTCTTCATATCAGCGTACTGTTGTTTATTACAGCTTCTTCTAGGTTAAGCTTTTCAGCACTGTTTCAGTGATGGCTTTTTACTAGAGCCTTGCAAATCCATGGATGTCTTCTTTATATCTATAAGTACCTACATTCACATCTGTGGGTGTGGATATCCACGGATATAAAGCAGACTTCCACAGATTTGCAGGACTCTAGTAATCATTTAGTACCTCCAGAACATTTTTGCACATGCGGATATCAACTTTGTACCCATGCAGGGCTTGACTTATTATAAATGTTTATATTGGATGAAGGAGGCTGTCAACCTAATTTTGTGGAGATGCAGCTGTTATAATGAATTACACATTTGGTATATATTGATTAGAAAATGGGAGTATAATGGAAACATGGATTGCTTGTGTTGATTTGGCATTCAATAGGTGTCTAAATCTATTGTAATTTACACCACTTTGGTATTTAGGGGGATGGGGAATCAAATTACTGAAATAAGTAAATGTCAGTCTTCACAAAGTCACTGGGAGTTCTGGCTGCTTAGTTCATGACCGAGGCAGGGGTTGGGGATAGTGTGCAATGCTATGAAATATGGCAGGGTGAGGGCTGCTTTATTTGATACCTGCCTCTTAGTTGCTTTTTCTGCTTATCTCCCTACCCTTCTCCAAACTCTTCTTCTTCTTCTGTACCTTGATTAGTAAATGCTCTGGAAATTGCAAAATGTAAAGCATTCCTACTTATGGCAGACTGAATTCAGATCTATTTACACAAGCAGAGGCACTCTTGGGTGGAATGGCATTCTTATGTTTACTAAGGCTGATGTAATAGCTATATCATTATTAATAATTCAAAAACTTGGCAAACTGAAATGTGTATTTCTTACTAATGAATATTAGTTATGGGACTCTACATATAAGTGATGGAAAATTGAAATAAAAGTGTGGCTGCAGGGAATAAAATATTAAATTTTGAAGTACAAATTGCTTTTTAAGTTGCTCAATACACTGTTTTATGATTCAAAGTTATTATGCAGCAGCATTTCCTGATTTAGCTATAGTCTCTGAGAGCAGTATTATGGGCTTGCTGTCACTTGTGGGATATTTCACTGTAAGTCCAGAATATTGCGACTTTTTATATGCTCAAGTGGAAGAGAGAATGTTTTGTTGCCTAGCTCCTACTTGAATTGTCATTGGGCATTACACTGAAAAGTCGTGATAATTTCATATTGCATTTATGTGTAACACTACGTTTTCAGAGCCAATGAACTAATTGTTCCTTATGATACCTTCATGAGGTTTACCAGTTATCTTGGAGTCTTGTCTTGGTTTTTCCTTTCCTTTTCTTATTTAAAGAAGCAAGATCTGGGAACAATTATTCTTGTTCTAGTTGGCAAAAGCATACCTAGAAAAAATGTAATAGAGATGAGACAGGAGTATTTTCAGTTGTGGAGTGCCAAGTAACTGTATCCCCCAAATTACTAAAATGTGGAATCTGGAGAAACAAGAAATAGTACGCCAAATCTTAATAATTCTCATTCATCATTCCAGTTCAGGAATCAGATTGCCATTGTTTTCTTCACATTAAATTCTTTGCCATGCCTTAAAGGACATTACAATGAAAGACAAGAAAAATAATCACACTTATTAATCATAACAGTTTCATTATTTATGAAAATAAAAGAAAACACAAAATAGAACACAGACAATAAGGAATGATTACTTCAGTTAGACCACAGTCACTTCATTATATCTATCTGTGGAGAGTTTCTAACAGATAGCCCCATTTGGGATTTGCTTGCTGTAGTGGCGATGCTCTTTTCTAGATAAAGTGAATGTACGTTAATTCCAAAATTAGTAGTACATCTTGTTTTTGTGTATCATAGGTAGCTAAAACAGTTGATAAATAGACAAGCCCTTTGCATTTTTAAAGGTTGGAGGATCTTGTTTGGTTTATCGTGAATAATCTAAATAGTTTATGAATAGTGAGAGGTGAGTGAATGAAGTCCTATAAAACCCAACACAATCTTTAAATCAGCTTCTTAAAAGAAGCTATTCAAAAAATTGTCCTGAGAGAGACAAATTAAATGAAAATTAAGAATCTTAAATACAAGGTCTCTGTTGACCCATATTGGCTTTGTTTAGCAGCACAAGTAGTGCTCCTCTGGAAGGCTGCATGGCATTTGTTGGTGCATAGGGAGGAAAGGAACAGAATGACTTGTGAGGTGGAGGAAAGGAAGCAGAGTATTTTTCGGAGAGAGTTTATACTATCCTGCTATCGTTTCACTGGAGGAAGAAGGCACAACTCATTCAGAACTTGACTACGTTCAGGTATCCGCTGCTGTCAGCCTTGCATTTAGTGAACACGTTCATGGGATCGGCTTTAGTAGCACTTCGGCTTATTAGTGTGCAATGTGTGAAGGCATGTGCAGCAAGGTTCTAATTGCCTCTAACTCTAGGATGGGAAATCCTCAGAGTTAAAAACTGACTATAAAGACATACTCTGTTGTTCAGTCCATTTTCTGAGCTATCTCTGTGGTTGTGTCAGGGTTTTATCTTCATCTCGTTCAAAGGATCTTTACAGACACAGACAGCAATGTAGTGTCACCATCCAGGGTTGCTTCTTCATTAAGCCCAGCCTTGCCATATCTATTTATAATGCCCTACCGTCTACTTAGTATTTAGGGCGAACTGACATTTGGTTGCATTTGCATTATTTTATCTGGCATCTGTTTGTCTTATGCAGGTTCCCTACCATCATTGTCTTTTCAGTTGCAGCCAGTCATGTACCCAGATTTCACACTGTACTCTCCATATAACTTCATTTGCCTTCCTCATTCTACTTTATACCTGCATCTTCCTAAGAACTCATATTTCTACTGATTCCAGTTTTCTATGTCTTTCATTTAATGCAGCTGGTTTCAAACCAGAGAGTAATACTGTTGCTTCACTGGTTTGATACACTGTCATTCTGGTACCAAACATATTTTTATAACTCCATAATTTATCAACTTCTGTACAGCACTTGTAGCTAAAGTTCCTTTGTTGATGGACCCATTAGTCTTTATCAAGTTTCCTAGCTATACCGTTTTCCTTGTTCTATGACTGTACTGCTTTTACATTTCAATACTTCATCTGCTGTCTCTTTTCCAACTACATCATCCTAATATTTGTTGTAAGTTGAAGTGGACTTCACCAATTTTCCAAGATAGTATAATGTATCAATATGAAAATGAATGTGTTTCTGCCAGTTGTATAAGCTAATGAGTTTAATGCTGGATCATTGTCGTCTGGGTGTAATCAGAGTTGAAATTCTGTTTCAAATTATCCCAAATACTCCTATTTTATATAAAAAGGCATTTGAGCTTTCAAAGTCATATTTTTAAACCTAGTCTTCAAAGACTAATAGAGCGTCATTAAAAAGGCATTGTTTCTTCTTAACCATCTCTGGAGAAGTTCTTTGTGTAATTCTGAGTTTGGTGAGAAGTTGCTTAAGTATTGAAAGTTAACTAATTCCCAGTTAATGGCAGTATTTTAGACTTTCAATTGCTTCTTACAATAGTAACCAATTGTAGCATCAAATTACCTTCCTGTATTTGTGCATAAAACATTTTGCTCTCAGAGCGTTGACATCAGGAAGTTGTTATATGAGGCTAGCATTAGACACAGTCTTTTGAAATGTATATTTGGAAAGATAATCATATGCCATTTTGGGAATTTGAGGAATAAACAAAGATTTTCACCTTTAAGTGGAAACATGAAGTCAGAGAAGTAATGATCCCATTTCCCAATTACACATGTTATCCTCAAAACTAAATGAATGAGAACATTAGGGTGCTTATAAAAGATAGTAATCTTAATAGGTAAATTTGTTATACTTGTAGAAATGGAACTAGCAGAAACGTGTTCACAGGTTAAGGCAATATGGCATGTTTATTGGGAAGGCAGAATTAATTTGCTATCCCTAGCTACGAAAATTATTCACATCTTCCCACCTTGCACACTTATTCACACACACAGGAAGGCAGGAAATAAGTCCTTAGTTTTTTAATTCTTGAGAACATATTCCTCAGGATCACTTGTCTTGGAGAGAATCGTGTAAAAGAATGTAAAACTATTATGTGAAAGTTACATGTATGTTTTGGATTTACAACTCACTATTTGCAATATATTTACAATTTGCAATTAAATATTCTATGTGAACATGAATTGTAGGGATGAATACACATACATCTTTTAAATACTGTATAAAATCGTACATACTATTAAAGCAAATATAGGTTTATAAAGCAGCATTTCAGAGTACTCATTTGGGTATAATAAATCTGGTTTTATGGCTGGAGATGTTATCTTCCCTGGCACTTGACTTGTCACTAGGTGTCGCAGAGGCTTTCCTAGGGCAAAGAAATTTGTAATAATCTAACATTGTAAGAATAAAATATTATAATGCAACAATTTTTGCATCAATATTGAGGTCAGTTCCCTAAAACCATTGCAAATGGCTATACCATTGGCATGTAAAGAAGTAGGAAGTAGCCTTTAAAAGTTGCTGGGACAGAAATAGTGTATTTTCCTCCAAAAGCACATTTTCAATCTGGGAGAATTGTTCCTCCTGAGTTCTGATACGACAAATGCTGTGTTTGTCATTTAAGATGACCCTATCATGCATCTGAGAGTAGATTGAACTCTCAATCTACTAGTATAATGCGGCTAATACAGCTAGTATAATGAGGCTAACACTCTTTTTTTTGAGCTCTTATTTCATACCAGATGGTAGGGCCCAAAGTTTCCCAACACATCCTTGCAATATTATCAAAATCTTATGATATTTGGTGTCAGTCTTAAAAGCCTCAACTCCTGAAGTTAAGAGATTACATGAGAATCTTGGCTTTTTTCAATACTAATACTGGTAATCACTAATAAAATGTTTAATCCTTGTGGTTCTGACAAAACATCTGACAGCTTGGACTCCTACGTTCTCAGAAACCAGAAGGCAAATGAAAAGACCACAAAGGTTATTGCTCCTAAAAATCTCATTACTTTAAAGCCATTCGCATGACCTTTTTTGTGACCTGACGCAAGACTTTTGAATGCTTAAGGTTGGCAACGCAGGTTCCTGTCTGTCAGCCTCACTGCTAAAAGACTCACTGGGCAAAGTGGGGGAGGCTCATCTCTCTGCCCCCAGAAGGGGCAGGGCCTCAGATGGAGAGGGTGGGGCTGGAGCTCTCAACACTGCCTGGACCTCTCGGCATTTCCCCCAGGAAGCACTCAATGTTGTCTGGAGCACGCTGAGCAGAGTTCCAGAGGTGATTTTAAAGGGCCCAGGGCTCCAGCCACTGCTGCAGTAGCAGTGGTTGAGAGCCCCAGGGAACTTGGCCCCTTTTTTCTCTTCTCCCATCAGTAAACCTGACCTTTGTTTAGAAATGGTTTACATATAACAGTTTTAATGCCAGCAGCTTTGGTCTATTTGAGCACTCACCACATAATACACGGGAGAGCGTTACCTGGAGCCAAAGTTTTAATCTGTATATCTTAAAGACACCTTAAACAGCACACAACTGTGTCCATTTTGGTGATCTATTTTCACATGTCTGTAGGCCCCTTTCAATAAAGTAGTAGTGTCTAGGAAACAAAGTGGAAGTCGTCAGTGTGTCTATCCAGTTCTCCTATTGATGTTTGTCTGGACGTCTACCAAGATTAAAAATATGATTGCGGATTTATGTTTTTCTATCTTAAAGACTAGAGTCTAGAGTTTAGAAGACTGTGAGTGCAGATGATATTGCAGGGAAGGCTGGGCAAAGAGGCTAGTTTTGCAGATATTTTGCAACATTCAGAGCTATTAGTGGTTATTCTCATTTCATTGGGCAGCAAACGTGATGCCATCAGTCCCATTTCTGCTAAGTGTCCTGTCTGTCTTGACAATGGACCTCACTGTATGGTTTCAATCAGAGATGATCGAAATTGTTCCTTATGGGCACTACTATGAGAGCTTAGCATCAGCAAAGAAATGCAGAAGCACTTCTAAAATATGGACTGACTTACCAATTCTCAGTATGTGTATCTAACCAAGGCAGCTTCTCAAAGTTTTTCTCTCTATCAAATAAGAAATAATCATTGCTCAGGTTCAGATTCAATCAGCGTGATAGTCCGATAATTTTTTAAAAATATAGGTATTATGCCTTGAAAGTTAATTGGATATGGTTTTTATTGGCTGGGGGAGCCACTTTCTTTTCTGGGAGGTGTCATTCAGGTGAGTGACTGACTGGAGAGGAATGTGTAACATAATGTACAAAGCTTTTTTTGTTTTCAAAAGCTGTATTAATAAAGAAGTGTTTTTAATACAGGCAGTCCCCGGGTTACATGGATCCGACTTACATCGGATCCCTACTTACAAACGGGGTGAGG